AAAACAGCTGACGTGCGCTGTTGAACGACCAATCGTATCGCAGAATCGAGAAGCGTGTCTGGAATTCTGGATTGTTGACGTTAAAAATTACCGTAATCGGGGCTCTGGTCTACTTACATTGCTAGAGGGGATTGCCTGTCAGTTCCACTCCTGTTATTTCTGCTCTCTGAATAAAATGAGCATTGAAAACACGGTAATGGTAAGAAAGATTTGTTACTGAATTAGTTGCCAACCAATTATAAATTTAGCTAATAGCCCTCTTAGTTACACCATAAACATGCCTGTCTCGGTCTCTTTTTGTAGTTTTTTGTAGCAGGCAACATTCCAAGTTCGACCGTTTCAAACTTTGAAAAGCTAGTGTTTTTTTATGCTATTTTACTCTTATCAAAACAAATTTATTTCTGAATATAATTGATTAATTAAACGGAGATTTATGGTAATGCGTTCATTAATTAGTGATAAGTAATTTACAACAATTAATTTATAAGGTATGTAAATGTCATCTTTAAATTTTGACATAAAATATAACCTCAAAAGCTACGTTCATCAAAACTTTGTGATTGAAGAATTTCGTGTACATTAAAGTAAATGATGCTGATTTTAGATGCCAAGTATAGTAAGTAGTAGTGTCGACGTACCTCGCCCATCGGACGGAAGCAAAATGCAGCTGGAGTGCTTGGAATTGGCTGGTTGTACCTTAGACCGGTACATAAGCTCTGATAATTCGCGCCCTTCGTTTTTGGAGGTTTGTTTTTATTTTTCTCGTTACCTAGCAAAATATGAACTTTTGCTTGATATAAAATCTAAGTTCAAATATCTTACAAATGTTGTAATTGAGAATTTATTGGTCTGCTTTCTAAATTATAGATAACTGGAATAGCAGCCCAAAGGAGTCCAACATGCAGTGGATTGAACGCTGGAGACTACAGAAACCTCGAAGTCCTGCTCAATCATCCAAATTTATCACAGTTGAAAATACTAAATAAGGTTCCACTGCCACCAGAAATAATGGAACATTTTGCCCGTATCCTTTTACAAAATACCTACATTAAATCAGTATCATTGCTTCATTATTATCCTTTGTTCTTGGTCTTAAATGCCAATACCTACATTTGAAATAATTTGGAGTCTGATAATTATTAATTAATATTGGTTTTTCCTTCACCTATTTTTGTAATTTATGGATTTGGCAATTTTGTATTTGATAATTTTCTTAATAATTCTATCAGATATGCAATGCCATTGCCTAATGGGGGTGTTTCCAGAAATCAGTCGAGTTTGGCTTGCAATAGATAGCAATATTTATGTGTGGGCTTTTGAACATGGTTGTGATGTAGCATACTTTGATGGCCTAGGAGAGACCATTGTCAGCGTTGGGTTAGTCAAGCCTAAACCGGGGGTATTCCAAAGTTTTGTAAAGTATTTACTGGTTTTGACCACTACAGTTGAAATTGTAGTATTAGGTAAGCAAGTAGTAAGCAATCAACTCTATGAAACCTTTCATAGTTTTATTTAAAACTAGCTGACCCGGCGAACTCTGTTCCGCCTTAAAGTCAATAAATAAGCAAATCTTTCCTTATTTGCTCACCGTTTAGACCTACCCTGGACTACGACAAACATTTTAACACAGCTCAATCGGCCCAGCCGTTCTCGAGTTTTAATCAGACTAACGAACATCAATTCATTTTTATTTATATAGATGTGGTATACATACTTACTTTTCTTTAATTTACAGGTGTTACATTTTCCTCAAGCAAAAATGATGGCTCATCAGAATTCCAAGAAATACACTTAGTACCAGAACCAGTTTTTGTTTTGCCAACTGATGGTGTATCTATGATGTCAGTCAAGTCCACTGCAAAAGGTCGCATATTTATGGGTGGAAAAGATGGATGTTTGTATGAAATCACATACCAGGTACATATTGCAGAAATATTTTTAACATTGTCAGGAATATAAAAAATGTCCCTTATTTACTGCTGAAATAATATCTTTTCAGATTTATCTTTTTTTAAATTGATAGCGAATAGCATAAAAAGCTGTATATTCACAATTTGTATTTTTTCCAGGCTCAATTGGGATGGTTTGGCAAACACTGTAAAAAAGTAAATCATTCAACCAGTGCTTTATCATTCTTGGTGCCATCATTCCTCAATGCAGCTTTATACGATGAAGATCCTATTGTCAAAATTGAAGTGGATAACTCAAGGAACATTCTGTATACATTGAGTGAAAAAGGCTGCATTGAAGTGTTCGATTTGGGCGCTGATGGTGAAGGATTGAGTAGAGTTGTACGATTTACACAAGGAAAGATTCTTACATCAGCTTTGGACATTGTTAAGTAAGCAATAAACAAATATGCTTAAATTTATTAACATTTAATTATTAGTGTTTTTTTATCAATAATATTGTATCGGATTTTGTTCCAGAACACTTGAGCCTATTAACTTCAAACCAGTTGTAGCAATATCAGCTGTGGAGGAGTCAGAGTCTGAACACTTAAATCTCGTAGCTGTTACACAAACTGGTGCTAGACTTTATTTCAGTACTGGGAGTGGGGAGTAAGTAGCTGATTTTATTATTTAATGAAAAATAACAAATAATAATCCTACCAAATAATGATCTTTAATCATGCATGCTTTATTTTTCAGTGCGAATCAAGGTGGTTCTCAAAGGCCTCAGTACCTCACACTACTGCATGTGAGACTTCCGCCTGGATTCACTCCCAACGCCTCAGTACTCAGGCCTAAACAAGTCCACAGTGCTGTTCATGAAAATGGTATGACTGCTGTCCAAGATTTTGTTCTTCTTTCAGTGATAAAAATAATCTCATTTCTACCTTATTCCCTGTTGTTCATGAAAAATAATATTTGAAGTGATGACTAGATTTATGTTCTATGAGAAGGCCAAACATAATAATAATGCTTGTGATCCTTGATTTTGATTAGTTTTTTTAAATATTTTTTGTGTCGTCCACCAGGTTGCCTAGTGATGGTGTGTTCCACGGGCAACGGCGCCGAAGCGGAGACGTTGTGGTGCCTATCGCGCGTGCTGCCCGGGCCTGGCTTCAGCGAGGCGCATTCCCTGCTCGCGCTGGACGGGCCGGCCTGGGCGCTCACAGCGCTGCCTGCGCCTCGCGCCGCTCACTTGTCACCCGCGATGGTCGCCAGGAAAGGTCAGTACTTTGCGTGGATGTGATGCGGCCGCAGCGAGAATAACAAAAAGACGAAGCTACACCAACCTGGCGGTGTTCCACGTGCAACGGCGCCGAAGCGGAGACGTTGTGGTGCCTATCGCGCGTGCTACCCGGGCCCGGCTTCAGCGAGGCGCATTCCTTACTCGCGCTGGACGGGCCGGCCTGGGCGCTCACAGCGCTGCCTGCGCCCCGCGCCGCTCACTTGTCACCCGCGATGGTCGCCAGGAAAGGTCAGTGTTCTAGTGCGGATGTGATGCGGCCTCAGCGAGAAAAAGACGAAATTATACCAACCTGGCGGTGCTGCCCGGGCCCGGCTTCAGCGAGGCGCATTCCCTGCTCGCGCTGGACGGGCCGGCCTGGGCGCTCACAGCGCTGCCTGCGCCTCGCGCCGCTCACTTATCACCTGCGATGGTCGCCAGGAAAGGTCAGTGTTTTAGTGCGGATGTAACGCGGCCTCAGCGAGAAAAAGACGAAATTATACCAACGTGGCGGTGCTGCCCGGGCCCGGCTTCAGCGAGGCGCATTCCCTGCTCGCGCTGGACGGGTCGGCCTGGGCGCTCACAGCGCTGCCTGCGCCCCGCGCCGCTCACTTGTCACCTGCGATGGTCACCAGGAAAGGTCAGTGTTTTAGTGCGTATGTAACGCGGCCTCATCGAGAAAAAGACGAAATTATACCAACCTGGCGGTGTTCCACGGGCAACGGCGCCGAAGCGGATACGCTGTGGAACCTGTCGCGCGTGCTGCCTTTTTTTTTTTCACCCAGGAAAATGGCCTATCCATACCTACCGCCGGGGGACGGTAGGTTAAGTGGGGCTCGAACCCACTAAAAACCTGGGGTGTTCCCTCTGCCGCATAGTGGTCGGCGCCTTGGGTACTAGAAACGACCACGGCGCCTTCCGCGGTCTTCCCGCCCTACACGGCGGTACCCTACACGCCCCCACTTAATGGGGGGCCGACAGGATTAGCCGGGAGGCGCGTGCTGCCTGGGCCCAGCTTCAGAGAGGCGCATTCCCTGCTAGCGCTGGACGGGCTGGCCTGGCCTGTCACCTGTGATGGTCGCCAGGAAAGGTCAGTGTTCTAGTGAGGATAACGAAAGGACGAAGAGACCAACCTGGCGGCCTGCAAGATTGATCAGAATTTATTTGGGGATTTTTAGTGGTTGTATCTTCAATCGTCTTAGACCGACTAAGTGCTACTATCAGTCGTTCAAAGCGTATTCGTCATTGTCCGCTTGGTGTACCTATGCCTGCTTGTATTTACATACAAAACAATCTTATGTTTTAGTGAAGTTTTCTCCTGGAACATTGGCTACCAACACAGCGTAACATGAGTACCGTGGTTTCTTTAGAAGTTGTGTCTCCGCGAAGGATGCGCAATGCCAACAATTAAGGGTGTCCGCGGAAGACCAGAGTCTTGACACGCCCCTTGCGAGCATGTGACGATAAATGCTGATTTGCCTGCTATTTCAATATATTGCAACCATTGAGATATAGAGAGATGCCAACTAATGCGATGAGTTCGAAAGTCAGTGTCTCATTAGAAATTCACACACACTAAGTAATCAAAATATGTGCTCATTAACCACTGCGGTATCAGTACTCAACGTTGGAATAATCTTTAGTACCATGTAATAAATGTAAACTGTTTACATTATGACGTCGCTGCTGTCATCATTGCTATCACGAGCAATGTGTTCTATTTTTGGGCATATTTCTGCGACGCCAGCCGCGCCCCCTTGTCACATCTCCCTTTAGTTTTTGTGATCTGTGGTTGCAACTGTTAAAAGGAATACTATGTCAATAACGTTTTTTAGAGGTGTGGAGCGTGTCCCGCTGGGCGGTGGTGACCGGCGCGGGCGCAGCGGTTTTGGCGGCGGGCGCGGCGCCCGACTTGCTGCGCTCGCTGCTACGCGACTGCCGCGGCCCTGAGGCTCATGCTGTTAAGGACTTCTTCCAGGTATAATACCTACTCGTACAATAAATTGTTACCAGCAGATCCTATCAGTTCACGAGATTTTTCTTGATTAGAATGTGATGAAGTAATTTGTAATTAAGAATGAAAGTGATATCTATAGTATTAGTTTAATCTTGCTCTCAAGATTACTTATTTTTGTCCAACTCTCTTTGCTGTATTAGCAAAAAAAGTGCTAAATTCTACATGTAACCAAATTGTAATAATTATAATGTAGCCTAACTATAGCCAGTTTGATAACAATTTTCGTTCCATTACGTTTCCTCTTGGTTTACGCCAAGCCATACGTAATGTAAAGAAAGTACAAAAAAACTATATTTAAAATTTTGATTAAGACTGTAAATACTTAAGTCCATTCACTCGATTTTAAACTTTTCCATTTAGGTAACGGCTCTGAAACTAGTAAATGTCTCGTTTGAGGCCCATTGTTCACAGTTTGAACTCATATACTCGTATTAACCATTAGTGTGTCTAGCTCCACAGCGTAGAGCAAGCGTGCGCGTGCGCAGTGTACCTGGCGTGCGAGGATGCTACTTCCAACGACCTGTCCGTCAGCGAGTGGGCGGCGCGCGCCTTCTTCCTGTACGGCGCGCAGCTCGCGCCGGCGCCGCTGCTGCCGCACCAGACCTCGCAGCTGCCCTCCAGTATAGGTGCGTTTGTGATTACTTTAGAAGTACAGTCTCAATACTCGACACTCAAATATTTATTGCTTATCATCATCATGCTATACACAATTTTAATGATGATACTGGTAATAATGTTTAGTGAAAATTGGTGTCGTAAGGAACCTGTATTCAAGTAAGGGCTTACGCTAAAACTAGCGCGAGTGCATGGAGTGGGTACCCGCCGCGGGCACACGCTGCGTGCGCCTGCCTATAAATGCACAGAAATGCGCTCACGTGGCGTGCGTCCGCCCCCCGCCGCGTCAATAGAAACACGTTACATACATACATGCGCTGCCCATACTATTTTTCGATATAGTGGAGTCCCTCAGTCTCACTTTAAGTCATGGTAGTAGCAGAACTATTTTATCTTATTTCCAGGTTCACCCAAGTTTTCGCCGCGGCAAATGTCCACGCCCATGTCTATGCGAGGTCCTCAAGGGCAAATGCAGCCCGGAAAACTAAACCAGTCGTATCAACAGGCCGCAATGAACCAGTCCTTCCCTGGCTCTCCCAACCAGTCTATGATGCCGCAGTCGCCATTCCAACAAAACATGATGAGCCCCACGCCCTTCAACCAGTCTTCCTTCGTGGGGAATGTCACACAGCAGCAAAGGGATCAAAATTTCCCCATACAAGTCGAGTACAGCGCGAAACACAACGGCCTCTATATCTACATTGGAAGAATATTGGCTCCCATCTGGAATTTGAAGTGTGTTTCCAAATCGCTGACGCCTGATAACAAGGAATTTGTAAGTACTTAGAATGTCAGTCATCACTTTAAAAAATCTGAATACAGTCACTTCGTAATCAAATGTGATGAAGTTATGATTCGTTCAATAATTCTTCGAATTTCTAATCCCAACTTAATATTATAAATGCGAAAGTAACTCTGTCTGTCTGTCTGTCTGTTACGCTTTCCCGCTTAAACCTCGCAACCGATTTTGATGAAATTTGGCATAGAGATAGTTTGAGTCCCGGGAAAGGACATGGGATAGTTTTTATCCCGGTTTTTGAAACAGGGAGGCGCGCGATAAAGTGTTTCTGTGACAGACAAAATTTCACGCGGGCGAAGCCGCGGGCGGAAAGCTAGTGTATAACTAAACCGTAAACCTATTCAGATGAGCAGCAACGTGACGGGCGAGGACTGCGCGTTCACCGTACAGAAGCTACAGCGCGCAGCGGCCTTTGCCCAGCGCGTGGTCGCGCCGCCGCACTCCGACGAGCACGCCTCGCTGCAGGCGCTCAAGATGTTCATAAGTACGTACACCACAGAATAATAATAAGTAGGTACTACGTACAAAAAATTATCTTCGCGAAGGTATTTAAAAAAATGTATGCTCAATGTCCATAATAATATGGTGTAATTTAGCTTGTCTCAAGAGTCGAGCACTATTTTGTTGACAAACGTCAGTGATCGATACTGCACCGAAGCCATAGTATAGGGCTGACTTCGGTAAAATGGTGTGTGACGTGAGGTACCAACTGCGGAAAATGGCGGAGGAAATACATGATTATGCATGAATTATATTTTATTCAGGCAGAAGTTAAAATACTGCACAGTAATAATTACACCACCGTTTTTACATACATACTCGTAGTTTAAAATTGATGACTAAATTACGCACTGGACCCAATTTGAGTATGCCAATGTAAAGTAGCAGTAGCATTCGGATCGGATATGGTGCGTAAATTATCCTTAAAGTAGTAGTGTAAAATAAGATTTTGCTATTATAATCGATTTTGGTTGGCAGGTCACCGATTCTGTCAGATCAAACAAAAACCGTTTGGTGCATTTTCTCAAAAAAGCAAAATGATATAAAAGTATACGAAAGAAATAAATGAAATTATACTCCGTATTTTTTTCAACAGCGATGGCGATTGAAATGCTTAGCCTTTGGAAAGTACTTTGCGAACACCAGTTCCACGTTATTGCGTCTAGTCTACCTCCAGAACAGCAAAGTGCTTTGCAGGCTGCAAGCTTTAGGTAAGTTTTATTTAATTATAGTACAAAATCGCACTAGATCGTACATTGATTCAAATTTTAGTGTCAATATTTGTTGAATTATTATTTAAAATTTTCAGAGAACTGCTGGTAGGAGGTCAAGAGGTTGCTTGCCTCCTTTTAGGTTCTTTGGTCGCCGGATACTTAAGAGACAACGCGTCCGTGGACGGTATCTCACAGAAGTTGAGGCAACTCTGTCCTACCCTCTATAGAAAAGAAGATGCTACTTGCTCTAAAGTAAGTATCTTAGCTCGCTAACGAATAGAAGGTCTATTTTGTTTAGTCAGATACAAATTATAATATGTTGTGTACACTAGTACTTTTGTTCATTGTCGTAACTCTGTAATAATAGTAATATTATTTTTTCTTATAGGCCAATGAACTGTTGATGTTTGCAAAACAACAAAAGAATCCGACTGAAAGAGAAGAAATGCTACAGCACGCTTTGAAACTTTGCATGGTATGTAAAACTAAAATAATGGTATTCTGTCTTTATCAAAATAGCAACGATAATTAAACGAGTTCAGCGCCATATTATCCAAATATTTTTTTTTTTTAATTTATTTATTTCCACACACATTATCACTATCTTTACAGGTGCTTAAAACCTAATGCGATAGCATAACTTAATCTAGGTAGGCTTAATAATAACTTAAAAACTAACCATACAGTATCTATTTACATTTTATAACTAATAATACCCAAAGCCGTCCTTGTGAATTCACTCAGAGAACACGCAAACACGTCCACATGTTCCGCTATCAAGTTAATAGTGCGCAAGGCGCGCGTGAGCGGCGCCTCGGCCAGCAGGTTGGTCCGCGCGCGCGGGAGCGCCAGCAGCCGCGGCGCGCGCCGCCGCTCCGCGTACCGGTCCGGCACACTGAATCGCACATGTCGAAATAGCTCCGCGTTATGACATAATATGACAATCCGTCGTTCAGGCACAAACAAGATACAGTTCAATACGAATTTTTCTATCCATTTATGGCTGCCGCGTTAGTGCAGCAGCTGCTAGTAGAACACACAGTTTGTATACCTTTTGCTGGCAAATATATTTTTTTTATGTAGGAACAAATGATGTTGCAATTATAGTGTAGCATAGTGAAGTTGCTGTTAAATCAGAAACGAAAGTTACGTATTCTACTCGTTCTACGTCATTGTCAGTACCTAGAGCATGGCTAAGTTGTCGTTAAAGAAGAAAAAGATAGTATATTTTTTTGTTTATTCCAGGATGTGGCTCCGAACGTGAATCTGCCTCTAGTGTGCGCCAAGCTAGTGTCGGCGGGCTTCTACTCGGGCGTGGTGCAGCTGTGCCGCGCGTGCGCCGCGCGCCTCGACCCGCACGACAAGGCGTTACACCACTACTCCAGCGACCAGCCCGCCCAAGACCGCGAGGGGCACCTGGCCTACTACCGCCGGTGAGTGATAGTGAACCCGCTGCGATAAAATCCTATCGATGACGTAATAAATGTATGGGATTATCGCCTTAAATCGTTAAAATATCTCGATGAAGTTATATCGACAAGGCGCTGCACCACTACTCTAGCGACCAGCCCGCCCAGGACCGCGAGGGGCACCCGGCCTACTACCGCCGGTGAGTGATAGTGAGCCCGCTGCGATAAATCCTATCGATGACGCGATAAATGTATGGGATTATCGCCTTAAATCGATAAAGTTATATCGACAAGGACCTGCACCGCTACTCCAGCGACCAGCCCGCCCAGGACCGCGAGGGGCACCTGGCCTACTACCGCCGGTCAGTGAACATCTAGCTGGGTTAGGGTGCGCGCCATGATCGCGCATCTTAGCCCTGCAAACACTTGAAAATAAACCCCAACTGGTTTTTTTTTCCACGCCTTCACATGGTAGAGTTTCGGTCTGTCAATATTTTCTAACGCGCGTCCTCCGCTTCAAATTTATTCCGTCTTTCTTGTCAGATTTTCGAACGTACACCTCCTTATTAATAAAAGTTACACCATAGTTGAACCACGGTCACTTTAAAACAGTGTTCAACTAGGGTGTAAGTTTTAATTAATGAGGGGGACAGAGTACAAACGACGACAGCTCATCTAGACTACATTTTTGTTACTTATAATGTATTAAGACTCCCCGCAGATTATAGACTTTTAGTCGGCCTATTGTTGGACCCGATTTTAATAATATGTATGATGAAGAATGGGCCGATGTAATGTGCGCACTTTCATACATGTCCATAATGTTTAACACGCCGACCCAACTATAGGTTGACAAAAAGTCTATTGTCTGCGCCTAGGTTTAGTGGGCGACTGAGTTTTAATTTTAGTTAATGTAACTGTTGCGTTTATATTTCAGAATGGACATATACCGGGAAGTATGCAACGCCCTAGAACGCTTGTACGAGCGCAGTGTAGAAACTGGAAGCGAGCCGGCGCCTCTTCGGTCACAATCGCAGTCCACTACAGACACAATGATGACTCTGTCGCCAGCTGACGCAAACTATCAGGCAAGTTTTCGTAAAGTGGACTTTTGGATCAACTTTTCATATAAAAATCTATATTCTTGTCATATAAAAATTTCGGTACATTGATGTTAAAATTTTGTTGCAGGGCCGAAAACTAGTATGGGAATGTTTGGCATGTGATGATGAACTCCTTCATGTTGCCGTTTATCAATGGCTTGTTTCCAAAAATCTCGGTGCAGGTATGTTCATTTTTAGAGTGACTTTTACTGGCTTATAAAGTTCTGCACGTACCAAAGGTTACCACAAATCGGAGACGTAGTATAAATTCACTCGCAATCACTGTAATCAATTTACTCGCAATAGCAATCTCGGCACCGTCTACTAGTCCAGTAAATGCAACCTGTATCCCCAGAGCTTCTATCGCTGGGGTCGGCACCGCCGGCGTCGCTGCGGCGTTATTTAGCGGCGGGAGCGCGCGCGGCGTCGCCACAGGCCGCGTTACAACTGCTGGACTTGCTATGGAAGGTTCTGGAGAAGTGCGGCGACCACCTCGCCGCCGCACACGTGCTCGAAGGGCTGGCTACTAAACCGGGGTGAGTGCACATTTGTTATGAGAGTTTCTAAAGCTAGGTTCGGCCGCTGCGGCGCTACTTAGCAGCAGGAGTGCGCGTGGCATCGCCACAGTCCCCGTCAAAACGCCACAGGCCGCGTTACAACTGCTAGATCTTCTGTAGAAGGTTCTGGAGAAGTGCGGCGACCACCTCGCCGCCGCGTACGTGCTTGAGGGGCTGGCTACTAAGCCGGGGTGAGTGCACATTTGTTATGAGAGTTTCTAAAGCTGGGTTCGGCCGCTGCGGCGCTACTTAGCAGCAGGAGCGCGCGTGGCGTCGCCACAGTCCCCGTGAAAACGCCACAGGCCGCGTTACAACTGCTAGATCTTCTGTGGAAGGTTCTGGAGAAGTGCGGCGACCACCTCGCCGCAGAGCACGTTCTTGAAGGGCTGGCCACTAAACCAGGGTGAGTGCACATTTGTTATGAGAGCTGCTGTCGCTGAGGTCGGCGGCGAATTCCTGCGGCGCTACTTTTTTTATGTGTTTACGTTACGCAAAGATTTCTGATCCGATTTACATGATTCTTTTTTTGTTCGATGCGGAATAGTTGCCATTTGGTCCTATAAAGATTTAATTTGGTTGAGTAGTTTTATTTTATGAGCATTTTTGTAAATTTTTACGTTGTAAATGTAATTTTTATTAATCGCACACAGGTCCGGCGCTCTCCTGTCCCAGCGCATATCGTGGCTGTCAGCCGGCGTGGTGTGCGTGCGCGGCGCCGGCGCCGGCGGGCCGGGCGGCGGCGAGCTGCTGCGGCGGCTGGAGGAGGCGGGCGAGGTGGCGCGCGTGCAGGCCGCCGTGCGCGCCGCCGCCGCCGCGCTGCCGCGCCCGCTGCAGCCGCCGCCGCACGCCATGCACCGCCTGGACGACGAGCTGCTGGAGGTGACGCAGGTGCGTGTGACGTGTACTGTACAGGCGGCGAGGTGGCGCGCGTGCAGGCCGCCGTGCGCGCCGCCGCCGCCGCGCTGCCGCGCCCGCTGCAGCCGCCGCCGCACGCCATGCACCGCCTGGACGACGAGCTGCTGGAGGTGACGCAGGTGCGTGTGACGTGTACTGTACAGGCGGCGAGGTGGCGCTGGTTTATTCGTTTTTCGCGCGCTACGGCCGGATACTCGAGCGATGACTGAACGCCGCGGAGCTTTTAGTGGGTATACCCCGTCGTTTTCAGAACGGAGCAGTGCTCTTTTCAGGACGGAGCAGCGCTCTTTTTTAGGGCGCTGGGAGTCCAACAAACTACTCTGTCCCCCTGCAGTGGTGGTGACAGTGCGCAAAGCCTCCTCCTTCCTCCGCGTAAAAACTAAGAAGATTTATCCGTCTGGTTAAACTTAATGAAGTCCGCTGCTGGACAAAGGCCTACTAAACGCGCAAGGGAAGGCGTTTATGCTCAGAATGCCAACTTCTCAAAATGCCAACCGCTCGCAAAATGACAACTTCGCAGAATGCCAACTTCTCGAAATGCCAACTTCGCGAAATGCCAACTTCTCAAAATGCCAACTTCTCAAAATGCCAACTTCTCGAAATGACAACTTCTCATAATGACAACTTACAATTTATTGATTGATTGATTATACAGGGTGTTAGGTAAATGGGTATATGAGCCGACACTAGCTCATGTTAACATGGGCATATAAATGGTATGGTGAAGTCAGAAATTTGATATCATAATTTTATTTTTTTAAATTTTCATACAAAATAAATTTTATAACCATATTATTTATATGCCCATGTTAACATGGGCTATTGTCGGCTCATATACCCATTTACCTAACACCCTGTATAGTAACAAATAAAGATATTGTAAATATTATGGACTTTTTAATTATTTTTATTATTTGTTGTAGCATTCACTGCTCCTCCATTCATTATAATTATAAGTTGTCATTTTGAGAAGTTGTCATTTCGAAAAGTTGTCATTCTGAGAAGTTGGCATTTTGAGAAGTTGGCATTTCGCAAAGTTGGCATTTCGAGAAGTTGGCATTCTGCGAAGTTGTCATTTTGCGATCGGTTGGCATTTTGAGAAGTTGGCATTTTGAGCATAAACGCCGCAAGGATTTCTGTTGTGGAAATTCTGTTATCAGTACGTAAACAATCGTCAGCACATCAAACTATAAATTTTTGTAACAAAATACCCTGTATCACTACGAGATGAGGCGCCACCACTGTGTTTAGCTTGATGTGCGAAAAAATCATTTATTGTTTTCCCACAACCTATATTTTATAAAAAGTTATAATATTAAAAGTAAATGCAGAAAACAAGGGCCATGAGGTTCAGCTCAAGCTGCCTCGAGAGCAAGTCCCGGGTTGCACTGTTTTTCAACTGATCCTATATCAGCTGTGTATATTGAAACCTCAGTTCTAATTTGCTTTTGTCAGTTGTAATGTGAAGGTACAAAATAACATTTTTGCTTAGCTATTTATAGAAATAAAAGAAATGTTCACGTTTTTACGTGCCTTTACGGCAGAAAACTTTCCCTGTATAATAACCAATTCCAATATTTGCAGCTATACGAAGAGTACGCCGACCGGTACAACCTATGGGAGTGCAAGTTGGCCATCGTGCAGTGCTCGGGCCACAACGACGCTCTCCTCGTCGAGAACATCTGGAGTAACATCCTCGCGGAGGCCGAGGCGGCCGCGAGAGGCTGTCTCACGGCCGACGAGAAACTGGGCTCGGTGCTTAGCAAGCTGACCACACTCGGCCGGGAGTACGTCCATACTGGGCATTGCTTCCCTCTGTGTAAGTTTAATCGATTAATTATAATAATTCGCCTCGACACTTGAGTAACCAGTGGCTCATTATGTAGTGTACATTTCGTTTTTTTGCAGATTTCATTGTTCGCCAGCTGGAAATTATGAGCTGTAAACTTCAAGCAGATCAAAGCATGGTATTCAAAGCCGTGTTGAATATTGGTGTTTCATTAGAACAAGTACTAGACATTTATATCAAGTAAGTATATTTTAAATAACTATTATCTTTTTTTATTTGTTTTCATATTAGTACATTAATTACGAACTATTTCGTGTATAAGTGAATTTAAATGTGTTGCCTTTATTGCCGTTGGCGGACAAAAAATTACGAATACGGTCCAGTTTAATTCGTAATTTTTCGTCCGCCATAATTTTTATTGAAACAGCTAGGCATCCCAATCTTCGTCTTATTGACGGCTATAATTTTGCCATCAGACTCGTAAGCGTGAACGAGCGCGTGTGGCTGGGCTGCGGCGACGAGACGCACGTGTGCAGCGTTGCCGCTCTGCTGCTGGAGAGCGCCCGCGGCGAGCTGGCGCCGCTGGAGGCCGCCGCCCGCAGGCGCGCGCTCGCCCGCTGCAAGGACCTGCACGAGGCCGCGCTGTCCTCGCTCCAGGTCTGTACTGGCCGGCTGCGGGCCGAGCCCCGCGTGTGCAGCGTTGCCGCTCTGCTGCTGGAGAGCGCCCGCGGCGAGCTGGCGCCGCTGGAGGCCGCCGCCCGCAGGCGCGCGCTCGCCCGCTGCAAGGACCTGCACGAGGCCGCGCTGTCCTCGCTCCAGGTCTGTACTGGCCGGCTGCGGGCCGAGCCCCGCGTGTGCAGCGTTGCCGCTCTGCTGCTGGAGAGCGCCCGCGGCGAGCTGGCGCCGCTGGAGGCCGCCGCCCGCAGGCGCGCGCTCGCCCGCTGCAAGGACCTGCACGAGGCCGCGCTGTCCTCGCTCCAGGTCTGTACTGGGCCGGCTGTGGGACTATTCCCACCTCTCGTTCCAACCGCTGCCAGGATCTACAGCTTGACCGCCAATAAAAACCCAACCAGTGAAGGTCAAGTTTGTCCCAAGGGAAAGTTAAACTGTCATTGGACCCGCAACGAAGTGAATCTGCTCCTCCAGATAAGTTGCACTTTTTGATCGAATCGAAAATCGAATCCGTCATAACTCCGTACAAAAAAGGCCTATCGACCACTTTTCGACTGGGTTTACGTAACGTTACGTAAATTGCACATTAACTTTAGACCCACAGAAGAAAATAGGAGTATCCTGTGCTAATAAACTTGTGTACAAAACAGGACAGGCCGAGTATACCGACTTCTCTCCACTTTGGGTTAGTAGACAGTTGGGTCCACCAACGCTGAGTCAGTTTGAGGTGGATTTTAATTTGTGACTGTTACTGAATTGACATAAAAATATAATACTTTCTGGGCTACATGGATTCTGACTCTCGCCTGTCTATGTGGGAAACTTTCAAGAGTAGTGTAAAGCATTATTCCGGGTACTGACTATATCTGCTAAGATATACAAAATTCTACAAATTGTTATTTAAAAAAAAAATGAACTTTGGAACCCTTTTAATTCATAGTCAAAAACATGTGTTAACTTGATATGTTTGTTCCAGGCTCGGCCGAACACGCAGCGCCTCATGGACCGCCTCACAGTTGCGCAGGCGCACCTGGACCGCCTGGACTGAGTCAGTAGATATAAGTTAGCTAATTATCCAATTACATTAAGTCCATTTGCTTCCCATATCTTTTTAATTTTCTTCAAATCATTTTTTGACATCCGACAAAATTTTACTTTGTCTAAATAATATTAATTTCATCATGCATTTTAATGTAACTTAAAGTCATTAGTAAATGAAAGACCGTTCAGTTGATTTAATTTTTATTTTATAATATTCCATAAAATTGGTAAAAATACAAAAACTTTTAAAATAATATTTAGAATAATTTACACTTTATTGAAACCATGTACACATACAATCGGAATGGCAGTGACTTATAATCAATCACACATTTTTATTCAAAACGCTTACATACTTTTCTACATTCTTTAAAGTATTGTTTTATCATGTGCATGTAAAAATAGAAAACGAGAAATCTAGATACATCTTAAAGGCACTAAATAATGTGAACCATTTCTATTTTTGTAAATAAATGATGATTGAAGTACATAATTATGACTTTCTATAATTTAAAGCCCTTATATCTTATTATTTAATGAAGAATGAGATCTTAAAATATTATACATAGTAAATACATAAAAATAACGATTCATGACTTGTTTGTCTTAGCCTAAATTAAATTATAGTCCAGACTCTTTACCACTAATATGGCCTTGGAAAGTTGTTAATATGCCAGTCGTGTTCTGTGGAGGAGATGAGTTAATGATATTAGTAACGATGAGAACGGTTACGATGAGTCTTCGTCAAAAGGGTTAGTATTTACCTGGTGCGGCCGTTGTTCGTCGTCGGGGTAGCTGTAGGCGCCGGCGTGCGCGCTCACGGTCGGCAGGCCCACCGTATTCATAGGAGATATTATCACATTATTATAATTCTTTGGTTCTTTTCCCGAACTTTTCTTCACGACTGTGCTGTAAGTCGGCGTTGACTTTGTGGGCATGTCCTTTATTCGAGTGCCGGCTCGATACGTCCCGTATTCGTCCGGTGGCGGCGGAAGCGAGAAGCCGTCCGACGTTTGTGTTATTTCGGATGCTTCGTCGCTGAGCTCTTTCGCCAACTTTTGTCGCATCTTTCTTGGCATTGTGTAGAACGTGTTCATCTGAAATTAAGAAAACCATGTATTTATGAATCGTCAGCAGTCTATAAGAACATTATTTTTGAAAAGATCTTACAGGTCTGGGCACGTTGTAATTAACTTCGCTCGGTAAATGCATAACGAGATGATCGCATTGCATGTCCATGTCCCTTTTCTTATTGATGTTTTGAAGGGAGTGTACCCTACAGCTGGCGCTGTGTCGCAGCACGTCGCTGCACTTGGTGGGCTCCTGCTCGGCCATGTCGTTCATGTACCGCGCGGAGTGGAACGAGCTAGTTCTTCGCACGTCGAAGTTTCTCGAAGGGTACCGCGACACTGCTCGCCGAAACGAATCGGTTCGGCGCACGTTGCATTCGCTGCCGTCGTCGCTACCGTGGAACGTGTCGCAGTTGGATTCTGAAAATGTTGGTTAATGGAATAAAAATAATTATTGCTACTCCACATTTCTATGCTCGCTCATTGGAATGTCAATAATGTTATGTCAAATATTTGGTTGAATAATTAAAGTATAATAAATAGGTTGTTGTTATAATTCATAATGAGGAGAGCTACCACTTCAGCGCTTCCCATATGGCAGTAACGTCCTTACTCTGCATTGGTGCTAATTTGTCAGCGCTAAACCATAAGATCTGTCGAAACGCGTTCTCGTCACAGCATAGAGCGGTGTCGCATAAGTCATATGCCTGCATGTTAGCACCCATGACGATGTTGAGCAGGGTACTCACCTAGTCGTGGAGCATGTAATGTATCAGATACTGTATCAAGTGAGTACATAGGCACGAGCCCGTGGCTGACGAGGCTGCTCGCGCGTGGTTCGCAGGGAGATCGCAGCGACCCGCCGCGCGCCGAGTGGCGGTAGCACAAAGGCGGCTCGCAGTAGGATTCAGGAGCTCCCAGCCAGATACGCGATGACCGTGGACGAGCCGTACTCACTTGAAGGTTGGTTACGTTACATGCTACATGGCAGGTGAGTACCCTGCTTTGCGACGGCACCCACCTTCCGTGTTGTACGCGCACAGCGGCGGCTCTGAGACGGCGCGCGGCAGGTCGCGCGAGCCGCGCTCGTGCGCGCACAGCACGAGCCCGCACGCCGCCAGCGCCACCAGCGCCACGCCCCCGCACAGCGCCAGCGCCAGCGTCGTGATATTCGCGATGGCGCTCTTTGGCAATACTTCTGGAATCACCAATTGGGTAGATCAATCATACTTACTTTGAGTTGTGAAAACGCTATAGGCAACATCTTTGAGGAAACATTTCTATAAATACGAGTAGACTAGAAACGAATGACGTCACTTTTACGCAAACCAATCGATCAACTTTATTGGTTTGATTTATTTATAATGTTAAATGAAACTAAACTAATTTTACAGTTAATTAAAAATATTATAAGTTGACTTTGGATTATTGCTTATGATGACAAAATTGATAACTACAACAAAATGTAAGCTTTACCCGGGTTTTCATTAACGATATCCTCCATCGCAATTTCCACTTCACTGCTCTCTCCTTTGTCGTTTATGGCTAAAATAACGAATTTATATTTCTCTTCGCTTGGTTCTTGTATTAAAAAATTGGGTTCCATCTTAGTTATCGATAGGATTTCTTCTTGGTGGTTTTCGTCATCTATCGGTTTTACAACAAATTTAAAGTGCTGCAACAATATGATTCATTATTATATCAAAAGAAACTGTTCAAATATTTTAATAGATAATTATCGGTGTGGTTACGGTAAAGCCTGGTCCGTGAGCAGCAGGTAGAATTTTGTCCAATGACCCCAAGCTACCCATCCTTATCGCTCGCACGTAATTATATTGCTATCGCGACTGTGCGACGGGCGCCCGCAGTGAGTGTGCGAGCGCGACAGCAACATAATTACGCGCGAGCGATAAGGATGGGTAGCTTGGGGTCATTGGACAAAATTCTACGTGCTCACGGACCAGCAGGCTTTACCTGTGGTAATCCACCATTGTAGCCTTTTTCGCATGTGATCGTTATGTCCTTCGACTCGACTCGCGTCGCGACGCAGTCGGTCGGCGATCGCGGCGGCGTTTCGTCGGTTATCAGAGAAATACACGGAGTGTGAGGCAGCCCGCTGCTTGGTACCCCATTGAGACCCCAACAGAACACCGTAGCTGTAAATATTGTAATAAAATAGATAATGACAGAATGTTTAAAATAATTTAAAATAACGTTACTATTAGTAACTTGTTGCAATACAAGTTACGTTACTTTTTACACAAGTTCAATCGACGAAACTTACTAAAAGGCGTGCCACTCGGTCTTTGATAGAGTAACGTAGGCTCCTCTGTTTCCACAGTAGTCTGCGAAGTGTTTCTGATGGTGTTCACCGTCACGGAGTCGTTCACCAGGACCCACCGGTACTGAGTCGGCGGAGGGTTGCCTTTGACATTGCATGTTATGTTTAAAAATTCGTCTTCCCCTAAACCAAATTCTATAATATCTGTCTCTTCGCAATATGCTGGATCTGTAACAAAACCAAATACACTAGCCTTATAAAACTTTCAATAGAACGAATAACAGCACATCAAGCTAAACCTGCTGCAAATCAGGTGTCTTTTTTGGCACATATTTTTTAAATTAGTAAATGGATTGTTAAATTAGATCAAAAAGTAAAATATTTTCTTTCTTTTATAAACGCTGGCGTCTTATGCAGTTGTATTACGCGCTATTTTGCAATAAACATTCAAAGTATAGTCTGATGTGCTGCCGGCGGTGTATACTAGAGAAATGGAGCTTACAAATGACGTCAATGACGACGTTTTCTCCAGAATACGTGGTGCCCTCCGCGTTGCCCACTTCGCAGCCGTACTCGCCCGCCTGCTCGTCGCTCACTTTCGATAACGTCAGGGTGGGCGTTATATCACCGTCATGGTACTTGACTAGGACGTCATCCTAAAATAGAGGTGAAGATGGTTTTGAAGAAAACTATTTGGAAATGTGGGCCAAATTACAAAGCGGCATGCATAAGATTAGGTCCTGCTCCTGCCACTTGATTTAGATAGATAGAACACATTATTCATTGTGCACCACACTAGCCAAAAAAGAAATAGGCAAAAATTAGGGCACAATTTAGGCGGTCTTATCGCTATAAAGCGATTCTCTTCCAGACATAGCTATTATAAAAAAGGTGATTATTTTTAGAAGTGTTGCTCACATACCTGAAAGTACCATACTAGAACGTGCGGGTCTGGGTTGGCGTCGTAGGAGCAGTTCATCACTACGTCTGATCCCTTCACGACTGCCATCGTGGTATTTTTCAAATCGTTTGGCACAACGATTTGCACAATGGGTTTGTCTGAAAAGTGAAAAGGATTTTATTATTAGCTTTCTCGACCTTGAATATAACTGCCTTATATTACTTTACGGTGTTTACATACCAATATATTAATTAATATTATGATTATGAATATTTATGAATCATTACTTAGCGGGAATTGCTGTTTTAATGGATATAGTGTCACTATACTAACTTAATTTTGATAATTATTATTATCGATGTTGTTGTTTGTCTTCAATGTTATTATTTGCATTGTTATTCACAACAACTCCTCTGCAAATTAATGTATTTAATATTATGTGAACAGTGAAAGTTCATGATGCCCGTTATTTCTTACTAGCTTTTGCCGGCGGCTTCACTCGCGTGAAATTTCGTTTGTCACAGATCGTCATAAATTATAGCCTATTATTCTGGGTTATAAACAATAATACTGTAAAGTTTCATAAAAATCCGTTAAGTAGTTTTTGCGTGAAAGACTAACAAACATCCAGACATCCAAACATTCGCATTTATAATATTGGTAGGACTAGTAGGAAGGAATTAACAGTAGGAATGACTGATAAGTTTTGAATTGAAGTTTACTGTAAAGGTTGATACTAACACCGCACAGTGATAGGGAAAGGGGCGGCGCAGAGGGCTTGGTCTTCTGCGGCGCGCGTGTACAGCGGCACGCAGCACGTCAGCCGCGCCTCGTCGTGCTCCGGGCCCAGCGACAGCTGCACCTCGCTTACCAGCAACCGCTGCGACGCGTCAGTCTGGAAACAATGGGCATGGAAACTCTTGAATTTACGCTGTACTGATTGGAATGTGATTGGATTTCCTCAAAACCTTCAAGAGATTAAAATCATCAGCAACATCGAAACCACGTGGTGGTGGTAAGTATACCACAGACATTGGCCTCAAATCTTTATACACCGTTACACCAGTGGCAACACAGTGATTTTCTTGGAGTTGATTCAGATCGAGTACTTATAGATGTAATTTAAGAAGAGAAAATTCAGCTCTGAACGATGAAAAGACATGGATGATTTACATCATTGCCAGATCATACCGTGATGTTCTGCTCCAAGTTGACGAGACACTTCTTTGAGACGCCACTCGACGATAATTAATTTTGAGGGACAAAGGCAATACGAAGTGATTTTCTGGAGTAAATTCAGACGTAATTTGAGGGGCCAAAATTCAGCTGTGGATGAATTAAAGATATGAACGATGGATGACACCTCTCTGTCATACCGTGCTGTTCTGCTCCAAGTTGAAGAAACGCGCGTCATTTTTAAGGCGCCCACGGCAATAAGAAGTGATTTTTGAAGTAGAATCAGACGTAAGTAATTTGAGAGGGAAAAATTCAGCTGTGGACAATGAAGACAACCGCCTCTTCTGTGGTCTAGTGGTAAGACCACCTGCTTCAGACGCATAGGTCCCGGGTTCGATTCCCAGTGGGGGCAGATTTTTCTGTTCGGTTTGGTTGGTGGTAGGGATTGTTCTAAGTCCGCCTAGCTAGATACCACCATCTTACCTAAGTCTGTCACCATAACAACAATGTTAACAGCATTGTTGCGTTCCGGCAGTTAAGAGGTAAGATAGCCAGTTCCTCCGTGGTTGAAGATTCCGGGTGAAGCTCGCTTCCACTTTCGGCCTGATCGTCACTTACCATCAGGTGAGATACAGGCCAAGTTTCCTCGTTATGGATAAAAAAAAGAAGAGACATGGATGATCATACCGTGATATTCTGTTCCAAGTTGACGAGCCGTGCGTCGTTGAGGCGCCACTCGACGTCGGGCGCCGGGCGCGCGCCCAGCACGCGGCACTGCACGCCCAGCGGCTCGCCTGCGCGCGCGCGCCCCGCGCTGTTGCGGTTCGACGCACTGCGCACCGATATCAGCAGCGGAGACACTGAGGAACATTCGTTAATGGGCCATCCATAAAGTACGTCACACGAATTTCATGATTTTTTGAGCCCTCCTCCGTCCTTGTCACAGGTGGTCACATTTCTGAGACCCCCCCCCTCCCTAGTGTGACGTCACATGTTTTGCAATTTCACATCGATAAATTATTAAATTAACAGCAGTTCCGAAATTAGTTATATTTCCATTTAAATGTACTTTTCAACCGACTTCAAAAAAAGGAGGAGGTTCTCAATTCGACCCGTATGTTTTTTTTTTCTATGTTTGTTACGCGATAACTCCGCCAGTTATGAACCGATTTGAACAAATCTTTTTTCGGCGTATAGGTAATACCTCAAGCGTGGTCCCATTAAAATTTCATAATAAAAAAAACAACCCCCAAGGATGGAAAACCGGGGATGAACTTTTTTATACGCAATATCTCCGCCGATTTTTAACACCTGTAATATTTTATTTACCTATGTTCCACAAATAAACGAATTTGATTTGATTTGATTATAAATCAATTTGAACGATTATTTTTTTGTTGAATAGGTATTATCAAAAGGGTGGTTTCATGCGAATTTGAAAAAAATATTTCACCCCCAAGGGTGGAAAATTGGGGATGAACTTTTTTATACGCAATATCTCCGCCGATTATGAACCAATTTGAACGATTATTTTTTGTTGAATAGGTATTATCAAAAGGGTGGTTTCATGCGAATTTGAAGAAAATATTTAACCCCCAAGGGTAGAACTTTTTTTTAATTTTTAGTTTTTTTTTTGTGTTCACGCATTTGAAGTCGGTTTTATTTTTTTTTTAAAGTTAATTATTATTTTTATGAAATCAACATTGTATCAAATATTTGAAACAATTGAAATTTGATGTCACGAAACTTAGGACCCCTCCCACCCCTTGCCACACCATGTCACACTTTGTCGACCCCCTCCCCCCCTCTTTACGTGTGACTAGGGTTTCTGATTTCTCGACTTATTTTTTTTCTCGAGTTTCGGGAATTCTCGAGGCCAAAGTCTCGAGTTTTCTCGGGTCTCGAGTCTTTTAATTAAAACTGTTGAAATCGGTTGAAATTTAATAAAAACGCGGGTTTTTATTAATGTTATAATGTGTCTGGGTTATAATCAATAATACTGTAAAGTTTCAACAAAATCCGTTCAGTAGTTTTTGCGTGAAAGAGTAACAAACATCCAGACATCCACACAAATTTTCGCATTTATAATATTAGTAGGATAATTATAACTTAGTAATTAACTAAAGGAACAAAAGTCATAAAGTCGCGTGTACTTTAAGGATTAATAACCATACATATCTGGAGCTCCAATTGAATCACTTGTTTTCCAAAGAACACAAGTCCAAATTAACTGAAAAATTACGATAATAAACCTACATTTACAAACAAAAAAAAACTTTTAAATAAATTTTTAAACTTAAAGATAACGACTTGAATAAACGTATTTACGAGTACCTAAACTAACAGATAGTTAACAAAAAATTTTCAGTCTTTAAATCAGTCAGTTATACAAACATAATAAAATATAGCATACTCGTAGGTGAACATTATTAGTTTCGGTTAAGATCATTACTTGCAAATCAAATTAGTTAAAAAAAGGAAAGACTAGGCCAGTCTAAACGCAACGTTAACCTATTAAATAATTAAAAACTTACTTTTGTCTAAGAAAATAGGCTTTCAAGAATATTAAAGCTTCAAAATCGAAACTCGAGAATTCTCGAGCTCCGGTAATTTTTTTCTCGTCTCGAATGAAGCCAAATTTCTCGAGTTTTCTCGAGTTCGAGAAAGCTCGAGCAGAAACCCTAGTTGTGACGTACTTTATGGATGACCCCTAATGTGACGAATAGATAAAGAAAAATCGGTGCTCGCAGCCAATGTGTTAAATGAGGTGCTATTTTATCACGATGTCAATTGGGCGTGGACCACAGTGACGAACGTTAGGCTGCGACGCTCTTTTTAGGGTAGAACAATGAGGTAGACCTAACAAAATACCGAGTACCTAAGGTCCTGTCACTCGTTAGTGGCTATTAGTGGTCATGACAGTGGCGTCAACTGGTGAGCGCTCATTTGGTAGAAGGGCTAGATATTGATTGGATCACCTGGTTAATTTGTACATTTTGTACTTAAGGCATGAAAAGATAACGTCACCGCAGAGCCCGTGGAGGGTGAATCTTCATAAGACAACGCATCATGTGCGCTAACAGTAAATAGTGAAATATCTCACAGTGCATGTCAACAATGAGGTCGATGGCCAGCGGCTGGCTGCGGTTGTTGTTGGCGGCGGCGCAGGTGAGCGGCAGGTGCCAAGCATCAGGGGGTGCCAGCAGTTGCACTGATTAGTACTCACTGACGCATCTGCATGACATGTCATGACACGGGGAGGTTCATTCGTACTAACATCTTTCATCTTCGAATCGGTAACCCAAAAATCCTGGGGGGCTCAAGACCATTCCGGGGTTCCTTAGCCCCCCTTTTGAAGTTGGGTATACACCAACTTCAATTATGGACTTACGAAGGGACGGGGGAGGGGTGTCGGGGGAACCGCCCCGGGTGCCAACGCACGCTACGCCGTCACCGGCTAACAGTAAAAATAGTGAAATATCTCACAGTGCATGTCTACAATGAGGTCGATGGCCAGCGGCTGGCTGCGGTTGTTGTTGGCGGCGGCGCAGGTGAGCGGCAGGCCGTGGTCCTCGCGCTCCAGCGGCCCGTACAGCACGTCGCTGCGCACGCGCTGCTCCGACAGCTGCGTCCACGACTCCTTCAGCAGCCGCCGGCCCGCGCGCCACGATAGCGACGGCTGCGGCTTGCCTGTTGGATAACAGGGGACGTAGTGTGAGTTTACGTCAAACGACGACTGCGTAAAAAAGTGGCATTAAATGTATGACGGATTGTGCAGCGCCCCTAGCGGAAACTTTCAAGAACTAAAATTTACACACATTTTTTTTAACGCGCTCGCTAGTGACGACGCGTCGACGTTTGATGAAAACTCACACTAAATCCTGAGATTGAGAGATTCCTTCTTCTTCTACTTCTATCATGTTTAATGCCCGTATTCACAAACGATGCTTGCTTAAGTGAAGCAGCAAATCGAACGAACAACATTGAATAGAGCTTTTTGATTACGAAAAAGGCTAAGTAAAAGCTTAATTCAGAACAAAATATGTACATTGTATTGTAATGTACCTATTGTTTTGCCGGGGAATTGAACCCAGAACGCCGGAAGCTACGAGTGGAAAGAATCTCACTGAGGCATCAAGTCTATTTATTAGACTAGATAAGTAATTTTCGTTTAATTAATCGTTAAGAGTACCCACCACCAAACGAGACGCAGAACAAATGGACGGTGTCTCCGACGTAGTAGGGGCCGATGCTGCGGCTGGTGTTGGAGCCGGCGCCGGCGGCGGCCAGCCGCGTGCCGTTCTCGTGGATCACGTACAATCGCTGTGGGGGATCTGCAGCATTAGACATTAGAAAAGTCAATAAAAATTCGGAAACTAGGACTTTAGTCTTTAGTTAGATTCGATTTCCCTACGGCTATTTTTAAGAAAGAGTTTTTTACTGTTCCTAGAAAGTTCCTACCCAAAACTAGAAAGTTTTATTTTTTATATTTTCTTTACTGCATAAATTGCACTACAATGCTGTGGTGTGCACAAATAAGTTTCCCGGTACATTTATTGATCGTGTGATCTGTAGGGTCTATAGGGCGACACCTAAATTATTTATCACCCACAAAGCGTTTTACATGATGTAATGTTGACGTCGCGTAATTGTTTAATAAATGGAGGGAATTGTTCCGGCGCGGGCATCCTCATTAGCCCGCGCCCAATTAACCGGCCGCGCCGTTTTGTCAGATAGGTAAATAGCCCAACTTGCCAGAAACCTTTGTCGGTAGCTGACACGAGTGTGGGAATATTGCGACTTATTGAAATTTGCCAATAAAATAAACAATTTAATAATAAATTACTGGTTGTGACCGAGCCGAACTGCCCTGTATTATGATCGATGGTATTTGGAGACCGGAAGCGGTAATAAGATCATCTGGCCCTGAACTTACTTATCGAATGTGTAAACTGAATCAGGGTAAGGAGATACTTAGCTAGGAAAAAAGCGAAATAAGTAGAATAGAAAACGACATAATAGATTTAGACGAGCAAACTTCATCAATTTCATCTTACGGCCTTTTTACTTTTAGAACGTGCGTAATTTTGGTAAATCTGCCTTTGGCTTAACTTCGGCTTGTTTCATTCTCCCCTATCGCTTTATCTGAACAGCAAAGTTGTATTTACCAATGACAGTGACTTGCACGTAAGTCTTGTGCGAAGGGCTCGAGTCGAAGTCGACATGGCAGATGTAGACGCCGGCATCGGCGGGCCGCACGGAGGCGATCTGAAGCACGTCAGTGTCTTCAGTGCCCGAGCGCAGCATACGGTAACGGTCAGGAGCCGAGCCAGCCTTGCCGTTCTGATTGCGGAAGTCGCGACTGCTGATGCAAAACAAATGTATTTTCTACGCTGCTAGACCTTCCTTTGTTTAATTTATTTGGATAACAAGAAATACATGATTTGGCACAACTGCTGGTGTACCGACTACAACAAGCTCAAAGTATAAAAAATATTTATTGTTCAGCATGTGTTCAGCTAAGAATATTCAAATTTCGTGACTTCGATTTAAGAAATTGAATTATTTGCAGTAGCTTAGCAATGTTGTATTTGCGACGGTTCACCTGTAAAATGCTGTAGATGATCCATTTTTGTACCACGCGATGATGTTCAGTTTGTCACCTTCTATTTCAGAGGTGACGTTGCAGGGAAGCTCTGCAGTATGTCCCACAACTGCTTCCACTGAAAATGCGTCGATTCTACTAACTACTTAATCCTACAAATACCAAGTACCTATTCTAAGATTGCAAGCATGTAAAGAATAGAAAAGTTCTCTACAGTAAAAATAAAAAACTTAAATAATTTCGTCAAAATGATTTGTGTTAGGAATAATTTTATTGTCTGATTAACTTTGTTAGAGTAGCTACTTAGAATATTGTTTCAATTCTGAGAATTCAATTATTTAAGAGTTAACTAATAAAGTCAGTTTTTTATACAAGCTGCCTAAGGTACGGAAGGAAATATGCATAGTTCGAATATGGACACTAATAAAGCTATATTTATACCATAAAAAGAAATTGACATCCGTTTCCGATAAGTGTCCTCGAACATCATACAGAATTGGATCAAGGGTACCGAAGAGGACGGCCCAGACAGATCCGCAAGGAAATAAAACACATTCTTAAAATTTAACTTGCGAAACCTCAATATAAGTAACGAAACATGTCATTTCTATCGATTGAATACAATATTACATAGTATTGTTCGGCGCAAGATAAATTGACGAAGTGAATAATAAATAATAGAAAAAAGTAGTAAGTTTACTTTTAAAAAGGATAGTTTAAAATGTAATTACTTAAGTGTCTGTTAAAGTTTTATTAGTCGCCCTTTTTTTTTTTTTTAGAGGCTCACCTAATTTGGGTTAGTTCATTTTTATAAACCTATCCAGTGTGGTGAAGGTAAAGAACAGTGCAAAGAATTAAAAATTTGTACGGTCTTAAAAACATATTGGAAACATTATTTTTAAAGATACTGAAATATCACGCTCACCGAGAAAGTTTTTTGAAAATTCAACTCACCCATTTCGACGTCGTGATTCGCACTCGAGTCCCCGAGGAGCACGATCAACACGAAACAAAGGAAACATTTCATTTTTGCACTGTCGTTTGTCGGAGGATGTAATGCACTCAAATTCGACGTCCGAAATATCGCGGAGCGTGCATGCTGGATTGGGCGCGAGTAGCGGACACGCGCTTCAATTGGCGCGCCCGGCGCAATAACGGCGGTCCAGCGCTCCCGGCTTCCTGAGTCCCAACTCCCAGCAGCCGACGTCACTCCCGCCCGCCGAACAAACAACCGCCCGCCACCTCATCATTTACCTTACACTTTTTAATTGGTGAGGTCGAAACAATTGGGTCAGCTGGATTTACTTATTGTGCAAACTGGAAAACGGAACTGTTGTTTTGGTTGCCAATTTAGCTTGCGATCTGCATTTCCGAATCCCGTTTAGATCGGACCAACAGATGCATCATCGCATCGCTAACTCATCCATTTCAATTGAAATATTTATTTTATTTAACATTTAACAATGTATTTATTACACTGCACAACAAAATTGCAACTTTTGGCTGATGATTGACTTTCATTACATGATGTTTACTAATTTGACGTCGCTGATTCTGAATCTGCCGTCCATTTTTTCGTAGCAGCTCTTGTTTACGTGTTATAGCTTTCACTCAAAAAATGCTAAATTTCAGTCTTAATTCGCCGACAGTTCAAAAAATACTATGTTTTCTTTGTATAATTTAATATGGTAGCATTAAGAAGTGCTAGTGTGAATGATCTAAATCAATTTTGTTTCATTTGCGGAGAGGATATGTTGAAATAATCCTTTTAAATGTGATAAAGTTCGTAAAATTGGCTTAAAAAAATTAGTTTGGGGACCCAGTGGAAATTAAAGATAAGCCTTGAATTCCGCAAAAGGCGTGGAAAAGATGCGTTGAGTTTTTACGTTTGTGAACAAATAAGAATATGTGTAGATTTAGGTACGAAACCGCTATGATCTAAAAGGAACCCTTGAACCATCGCGACGACGGTTATTTTTATTTTTGAACAGAAATGGTATTAACCAAAAAATATGAACTAAATGGTAATTCCTTGCATACGTTTGGCACGTAGACGTCTTTTCAACCCTAAGAAGTCACCTGAACCTCATGCTGATACTTCACAGGAAGATTTTGAGGCGAAAGCTGGCAGTGTGGTAGAGACTTTGAATGTGACCCGAAAATTTCAAAACCATGTATCCAAGATGGTTTAAACGATCGTTTCAGAGATCTAGGATCTTCAAGTCTTCAGAAAAAACATGGAATGAGTTATTTTGGCATATTAATTTTTTTTTTTTTGGAAAATCCGAAAAAATCTTACTATTCGTACACATCTTATAACGTATGAGTCTCTTACAAACCTGTTTTTGGTTGGATGTAATATAAACATCAAATTATACTCTCTTCGCAATCACCTGAACAATTTTCTCACAACTCTTAAGGATCTAAGTGAAGAACATGGCGAGCAAATCCACCAGGGCCTTCGTACGATAGAGGGACGCTATCAGGGCCACTGGAATGCACACATGATGGCTGACTGCTGTTGAAGCATTCAGAAGAGCTGTTTGCCTTCAGCTTCAGCAAGGAAGTCAAATAAAAGAAAGTTTTTTCAACTTAACAACTTCATAAAATAGGATCATCTCTAAAAAAAGAGTGTTTTAGTACAAAAAGACCCAAGTGTCATATTTTTTTAACCAGAGCTGATACAGACATTTCAATCACAGATTTGAAATCGTCATTAAAAATTAGACTAATATCATGTAACATAACCCAATCATCAGAAATGCTGTTGTGCAGTGTTATTATTATTATTGGTTTTTGGGCCTTTATTTGCGCCAACTCGACCATTGTATTACTATGTATTACTTAAAGTTAATATATAGTGTGGATAGCTTACACCTAGGCTTTGAGTTTTGCCAGTATGAATACAAGAAAAATGTAACTCCGAGAATTTATTTTAAAGAATTTACACTTAGGTATCCTCATTATTTTGAATAAGTATGTATAAAAGTTTATTTTAAGGATTTTATCTCTTAAGTAAAGTTTAAAACAAAGACAAACACTTAGATTTACACATGAATATATTAAGGGATATATAATGTAAAACTACCTATAGTAATATAAGTTTCCTTGGAGATTATGTATGTATATACAAAAAATATTTTTAGGAGGTAGTTAGTTACATTTATATGAGAGTGCAAGGGTGATAGTGTACTTTACATATAAAAAAATAACAACCTTGAGTTCCAGAAACCTATCTACATACTTTAAAATACTTAGTATTTTCCTAGTTATACAAGTCAATAAGTACACTATCATGCCTGTAACAGTATTCAGATATATAATTATGTATATCAAAATGTTTATTTAAGGTCTTTTAAAGACCGTACAAATAGCACTGTCAACACTGCAATGACTGCACTGCCTACCGCGCCAACAATTATCTTCTTATTTTTGCTTTGGCCAGGATCTCGTGTTAATGTCTGAAAAATAAAAGTTTATGGTAAGATTGGTATATAAGGCTCATGTCTACTCCGACATTCCATAGTTTGTTTGTGCAAAGAATATTTTATAGTTACCTTAAGTTGAGTATGTATTGATATGTCCATTGAATTTAAAATGTTAGTAATCTCACTAAGTGTAGCAATTGCCACATCAGATGCATATTTGTCTTTATAAACTAAACAGTCAGAAATTCTTTTAGTCTTTTTTACAGCTAATGTATTTGCTAATACACTTAAGTAGATACGATACAAATGCTGGGAACTTTCTTCAAGAATTTCTACAACTTCTATAGGACCTAAATTAATGTTAACCTTTGATCTGTAACAAAAAAATATACAATAAATTGGTGATGCTACGAATATTTAAAAAAATATCAATAAAATCGCACTTACAACTGCTCAGCAGTTTCTTCATAGAGAGGCAAGTTTTTAACTTCTTCCAGCAACTTGTTCCTAATTTCAGAATCATCTATGCCCAACTTTATCAAATCTTCTTCAGATAGTTCTGCCAAAGTGCACTGGCCAATATTATTCTTTCTAAAAAATGTTTTAATAATTTATAAAATATTACCATAACGATTGGCTGTTGGTTGATAGACGAAGTAGACGAATACAAAATATTTAAGATTAAAGAAAGAGTAGGTAAACTAAAAGAACACTGGATGCAGGATTGTAGGTAGGTGATGATGATGTTAAGGAAGATTATTTAGATTCTCAAAGTAAACTTTACCTAAATATTTCGACGTATTTTTCAGCTCCTAATCCCAATAAAAGTGCACTTATTGTAACGTCAAATTCTGTAGGATCTATTTTTGAAACCTTAGCCAATTCAGTCATTGTATTCTCTTCAATATCCATGTTTTTAGCGAAAAATCTGATCACTGTCTACCTATTTAAATTAAATTGAAAACTAAGATTGAAAACGATTTCTCAAATTGATTTTGTCAAGTTTATTTATAATGTAAGTGTCAATGTCAAAGATGACAGTAATGAAATGACAAATTTGGCAGCGCTCAGCCGAAAATAGCATTGTTAGAATTTGCTAGCAAAATGGCGTTTGCCATGGCAGCCACGTTTGCTTAACTTCCAAAGTAACGTTTCCCATATAGTTTTTTTACAGTGACAGCACTTACCGCTAAAAGGTCGCCATTTTATTTGCTAGCGCTGCTAGCCAGCGCTATTTGCCGCCAAACACCCTCATGTCCTAACCGGTTTTTGGTCCGAACTAGCCGAGAAATTCTGATATTTATGAGGTCCGAAACCATAACCGAAACACGGCTCTTTTAAATATTTTTTTTAGAGTAAATGTATCAAAGAATTCCTTTGTATTGTTTGTTGAATAGGAACTTTAATACTTTAAAAAAAAACAAGTTTTATCGCAATGGACAAATTGGGGGTAGACTAATCTGTGGGGTATAGACGACCCACGCTGAACTGTCCCACCAATCTCAATGACAGGGGGGCGCTACCATCGTTCAACTATATGGTTTCCAACATGGCAAAAATCGGAACCAGCGATCCGGTATTGACGGTGGCGCCCCACTGTCAATGTCATCGATAGGACAGTCCAGTATTTTGGAAATAAAGACTTCTTGGCGGGAATCTGAAGTGTCATGTTAGCGGCTTTGTTTTATTTCCTCAAATTCGTGTTTGGGCGACTATAATGCGTAATAATGGTGGTAATTATTAACCATTGAGTTTTCGTGAACGTGCATGAGTGTGGGAAAGTGAAGCAGAGCAGTGCATCGTGATTCTTCTGGTTCTCTCAAGTTGTCCATAGGAGGTCTCAGTAAAGCACCACAACTTTAGTGAGACAAAAAGGGTGGTGGAAAGGGGTATCATCTATCATCCTTCATATGCATATTATTATGCCTTCATATCATATCATTACTTGATTTGCTTGATCTCATTTTGTAACTCGTATCACTTATACAGGGTGTTAGGTAAATCACTACTACACACCGACACTAGCCCATGTTAACATGGGCATATAAATAGTATGGTGAAGTCAGAAATTTGATATCATCATTTAATTTATTTAAATTTTCATACAAAATAAATTTTATAAAATCCGATTTGTATGAAAATTACAATAATTAAAATGAAGATATTATTATCAATTTTCTGACTTCACCATACCATTTATATGACCATGTTAACATGGGCTAGTGTCGGCTCATACAGGGTGGAATTTTGTAATGCCACCTAGAGGGAAAGTACTCTTAATATTGTAGATAGAAAAAAAATCTCAAAGAAAACATTCCTTTATTTTTGAAAAGAAATAGAATTGCATTCAAAGATTTCCAAAAATGTGCTTGCCACACCCGGAAATCGAATGAACTAAAATCTGTTAAAAATTACATCCTGTATTTTTATTGCATCGATAGTTAGGGTTAAGTATAGGATGTTTTTTTAGAGGTATAGAACTTTAAAATGAAATAAAGTATGTAAAAATATGTTAGATTGACATGGTATTGGTTTTGTTTTAAAGATGTTCTTATGCCATTTACTTATGCTTCAAAATGATTTCGGGACAAAGGGCGCCACGGTTGGCTCAAATATAGCGTAATCGAGATGTCCAATTTTCAATTTCTTTTTCGAGCAACTGGGGCCATACATCGGCAATAACGCAACGATTGTTGGCATTGAATTCCGTAGTTTATCAGTAGTGGACTTCAGATATCCCCAGAGAAAATCAGGTGGCATTACAAAATTCCACCCTGTATACCCATTTACCTAACACCCTGTATACTTGAAAATGGCACAAATCAAGTCGACCTCGACGTGTATTGCCAACATCATCAAAAAAGAAGAAGAAGAAGAAATTGGGGGTAGTAAAATTCAGAGGATTGCTACACATATTGCTACACACACAAGGAGGCGGTGACGGATTTACCAGCAGGCTGGGCTGAAGCCTAAGGCGGCAAATTATATGGGGCGGCAGATTTAGTTCATAATTATTTTTTACATACACAAAGTAGGTACGTTATTTCGGATACGAATATATCAATGTTCGCAAGGCCAGTCAAACAAGATCCAATACCTACGGGCGGCAAATCTATAAATCCGCCACTGCAAGGAGGCCTACCCGTAAAAGTAGGTGGATTAAGATATCTTCGTTTCATTAATATTTTATTATGTAGTACATAATATCGCACAGCGCACAACCTCGCCGACATTTTAAGTGGGTAAACTATAGACTACAAATAGAATACAAAGTCAAACACTTTTAATTTATTTATTTTATTTATTACAAAAATCAAGTAATTAATGTGACTTCTACATAACCAAATGTTGTTTGTGAAGTATATAAGTATGTATAGTAATGTACAACCGGTCGAGTTAACTGCGCACCTCGCTGGAATGCGACTCTCCCTCGAACTCACCCGAACACCTCCCCACGTTCGTCCCATACCAGAACTTCGAAGTGACGTCACGGCTGCAAGATGCGCAGTTAACTCGAATGGGTTGTAGGTCCTGTGTCCATTCCATTAATAAATAAACTAAGAAGGTCTCACTATGATTGTTCCCAACAATCACAAACATTTATTAGCTAAGTTTTCCATAGCAATTAACTGCTGACTGCTTCATTTTCTCTACAGCCTATTCATGTAATTTACCTAGTTTCACCGTTATAACCACCACGACTCCAAATCCGTTGTTTGTGTCTCAACTAATTGGATATAGTTATTCTCGTAATAAATTAGCTATGCCTAAGCTGTCATAAACTCGCAAGAGTTAGTGCATAATAAAATAATGAAGGTAGTCGTAGTTGCCGTAGTACTAACGTAGGTAAGTAGGTCTACGTCGTATTAGGTCGAATTGTTTTCTATTTTTATTAAATCAAATTCAAATGATAAAAATCTTTTGTTTATCTTATCAAGTTAATTCGTCTCTAGGATTTTTTTTCTTATTAGGTTTGAGATTATTAAATTAGTTCTTTCTCTTAACGTAAAGATTAATACGTATTTTAAAACCTCCTTTTTTCGTAGTCCATGTGTGTTAGCCAAGAGAGGTAAGTAATTCTGAGCCTACAAAATTATACTTTCTCGTTTTGCTTTATTTTATTTACGACGGAGATAAATTATCTACGATAGCTTTAACCGCCTGCCAGGTTTCACGGGCAGTTGACACTATTTGAGCTCCCGGCAGCAAAAATCCGTAAGGCCCATACGAGTCTCTGAGATCGACGTGATAGGAAAACTTGATTCCAGCACGTGCTTTTGCCCAATCATGCGCCATTCCGGAAGCAGGTTGCCGTATTTCAGAAGCTGTACCAATCTGAAATAAAAAATAAACGAGTAAGTATTTCATGGAAAACAAAAGTTTCAGCTGCGAGCTGCGGCGGCAAATTACTTAGACGAGTTTTAGCATGTTCATTGTACAAATCACATTTGATAGGGATGTGAAAGTATGTGTTTGTTACTCAATCACGCATCAATGGCCTAATGGATTTGTTTGGATATTTGGAGCGCGGATAGAATTATAAATTCCGAGTAAATAATTAAATAGCTAATTAGGTACAACCACTCTCGGCTTTAATCTGAATTCAATTTTAGGTTACACCCATACAGGCGCACTTAGGTAGGTAGGTAGCTAATGTAAAAGATTAATGGGAAAATGTTCCATGAACGCGTAAATAGGCAGTTATGATTGTTGAATTGAATGATGTATAAAATTTATATTCGCATTGATTGGTTCTTAGACGCAGGCATTGCGTACTTTCTACTTTCCATTTGGAGAGAAATAGTGTAGTTAGTTATTTTTAGACCCTAACCTGGTATTTAGTGCCGTACAGGTCTGCCAGTGCGATGGTGGCCAGCTTGCCCATCTCCATGAGGACTCCGTCGTCGGCGAATGGCGCGTGCGCGTGCGTGCTCGGCACCAGCCAGGACTGAGAGTACGCGTGCAGAGTGATAAATACCTGAAAGAAGAGTTATCGACGTGTACGAGTATGTATGAAGATTTCTGCAAGTAAACCTATGTGGTCTGGATAGGTCAGTTTTAATTTATTGACAACAACATGAACATGAGATGTCATGATTACATCCGCTAACCACGAAAGTGATCTCGGGATCTACTAGGTATTTTGAATTCTATTCCGTTGTTGGATAAAGGTTCCAATCTACACCAGTCTAGAACTTTTAAATCGAATGGTCATGAAGCCCTTTTAACCTAAGGTTTTTTACCAATTTGATTTTGCGCTGCGTCTCTTTAGACTGCAAACCATCTTACTTTAACTTTGACAAGCGTAAAAATCTGTCAAATTCCATACAAAAAACACCGGTTAACGTTACAGTTACGGTCAAAATTAGATGGTGCAAATCAGCCTAAGATTGTGTAGCTAGGATAACTGATCACTTCCATTAAAATGATAAAAAGCTGTTACTTTACACGTCTAATAATAATATTTTTTTCTGCTTTGCTGATAATAAAGTGCAATTTAAAATTATGAATCATAGGTGCTCACCTTGAAAGTGTAGTAGAAAATGTTTTGAAAGTGACTATGTAGGCAAACACCGTATTCCGTCACAATTTCCCGCGTTTGACGATCTACGATCGGCGTGCGGTCTACCTTTACGGGTTTGCGAGAATGATAAATTGCTATACTTGAAGGCAACAGAATAGAAACTACTTCTGATTTCTATCTATTGTAGCGCTGGTCTAGTGTATCTACTTGATGACACTAGTGCCACTAAAAGTCTGTCGCTCATTAAGGCTTTGACTTTGGCTTGGACATTGAGGCAAATGGACTTTATTCTTTGTCTAACGCCTAAATTTATAAATTCTACTTTGGTACAATACAAAATAGCATTGCAGATAAATTAATAGCACTATGCAATACAAGCTCGTCATGTCATTGAAAGAAAGAAAGAAAGTCGCACTAAAGTAGATCCTTTTGTTACGGGGACCAGACACAATAAAATTGATTTTTTGTTATTTTAAAGAGTTGAACTTTTGTTAG